TATGTTAGCTTATTTTATATTGTATCCTTTGTATTGTGTGTTAGTATGTCACTGTTTTTATTGTGAACCTTGGAAAACAAATTTCATTTACTTTGTATATAACAATACATTTTGATCTTGAAATCGGGAACTTTTCCTGTCTATTCAGACGCCTTAACCAATCAAATCCAATTAAAGCAATTCATTAATTCTTCACTCTCTAGTGCATGCGAAGTTGAACAACGCTAAATCGCTCCAACTGGGATTCGAACCAGAGATCTCCTGCTCTCTGTTCAGACACCTTAACTAACTTTCGTTGGAAGTCCGAGTTCGATTGGAGGCAATTGATTTCACACTCTATACTGTATGATACCGTATAGTGCGGAATCAATTTCCTTTAGAAATCATAATGCATTAATATTAGTGTATGTTTATAGTGTCAGGTTGTAAATCAAATTGTCATAGCCGACGCTCACTGAGATGTGGAAGTAACGGCATAACCTACTTAAACAGATGTTACCTACAGAATGCGAGATGTGATGATCCAGCCATCAGAATGGTCAGTAGAGGACCATGTCCAGAGTCAGGTATGATACACTTCACAATGATCAGTGCCTTTGCTGTTTATTATATAAAAAAATATTATTTGGGAGCAGTTCGCTCAAATTTATTAATATTATTAGGTCTATAATTATTCTGTATACCAATACGATGATTTAAATTATCTTTAATACTCAACCAGAATTTTACAGACAAGAATCGAATGTCATACTGTGCCTGAATACCCGTACGAATACAAACAGTGGTAGCGATAGTGGGGAACAACGGCAGCCGATGTTTATAAGATGCCTGCAAACTTCTAGTAAGCAACACAACATCACACATTTTATTAGTAATAATTTCCATATGGATGCTGTTCAGCTTCAACATATCTGAAGGAAAACCTGAAAACCCCTAAAAATATCCAATCAAGCAAACCAAAATAGGCCAATTCGTAGTTTGAACTGCGCATGCCCATATCCAAGTTTACTAGACATACCATGTTGTGTGTATGTTTGAAACTGCGAAATGGCTTTAAATTAAGTTCACTGATTTACAAACTACTTATTGTATCCTGTTTATTTATTTGTTATTTATATTTTATCTCATCCAATAGCGTAGACGGAATGAATAAATACATTTAAGTTGACGTAAGTACGGTAGTAAATGAACCGAATATAATAACACAATCAAAAGGTACTGTACAGTAATATAATCAGTTATTAACAGTACGTTATCGGAATAAAATTTAGGTTGAGATTTCAACAATAATCAATGAATCAACGATATGAGTAAATAAGGCCTTTACAGGGGCAGATCCAGTGATGTTCGGAAGGAAGACCGAAAGGGGGTCCAAAAGCGGGACCGGTCGAGACAACACTACCTTATGGGACGAAATTTTTGTTTTTCAGAAGCCCAAAAATAACCTATGAGGCGTTTTGGACGATCAATGTTATAATTTTTTTTTTTGACTTTCCATCCTGCACCCCCACCTCCACCTCCATTGCTTTTAATTTAAATAAAGCCAATGATCTATTTAAATATACAGTATTCGAAATCATAGTGACTACATTCGTTGGACCTTTGTTATGATTAGAGATTCTGTGCGATGTTAATAATACCGTGCTGTTTCATAGCCCTAAATGCATTCTTGTATGATATCTTTTTTTGAAGATAATGGAGGTGGTAATGGAAATAATGGAGGGACTGAACAAGGAGCTGTTAATGGTGGTAGTGACGGTGGTAATGGTCTTGGTGGTATCGGTGGTGGTGTCACCGATGGTGCACCATATGCACCTGACAATGGTAATGGTGGAAATGATGGTGATACGAATGGCGACAGAGCTACGGCATTGCCAGGCACATCTCAATATCAGCGAGGGGGTAATACACCCACAATACCAACAGCAGACGTACCGGCATGCAATGAGACCTGTCCATTGCTCTATACACCAGTTTGTGGCAGCGACGGCACCACTTATTTCAACGAATGCACTCTAGAGTCGAACCGCTGCTTGCTTTACCCTAACCTACAAAAAATAGCAGATGGGGAATGTCCTGATAAGCCTAGTCGTGGCGACATATAGCATTATTAGCTTTTTTCGATCCCACTAGTTTTAGATTTTAAGTACATGATAGTTTTGGGGTTTCGTTAAAAAAAGGTTATATTTTTCATGTCATGACCCCCGATTACCGTCCGAATGAGCTAAGCAGTCAATCTGGTATACGGTAGACCACTTCTACCCATTAAAGACACGTTTTTAAAAATGCACAATTAGTTGAGAAATTACCGAATTATTCAATTTTAAAAGATATATTAGCTTTTTAGGTAAAGCATATAATAAAAATAAATGAAGCTATTTTACATCAATTGAAAACATTTTGATAAAGATAGCATATGATATATCATTGTGTTTGTCTATGCAAGTGATACAAAACAAATAAACTAGTCATTTTAATGTTATACGTTGTTTTTGAAATTTATTTTGGTTTCACAGACGTCCTACTTTAGCCATTAGCATATAGTAATATGAATGATAACAACGTTTAACAATGATGACGATGATGACGATAATGATGATGGTAATGATGACGATGACGACGGTCACGATGATGACGATGATGATGACGATGAAGACGATGACGATGCTGACGACGATGGCGATGATAATGACGATAATAACGACGATGCAGACGACGACCATAATGATGATGACGATTGTCTTTAAGGAATGCGATGTGGCAGAACCTCCATGCGCACTGCCGGAAATTGATAATCCTAAATTTTGACTGATGATATAGAATATGATGTAATTAAATACCATGAATTATTGATAAAAACGAAAATGGAGATGATATATTAATGAGGATAATAACAATTTAAATAATGCCAAAAGACCTAACATTAATAGGAATAATATAAAAATATATATTGACTTGAAAATACATAACCATTTTCAATTCACACTGCTTTACAAAATGCTGCAGAAAGTTTAATGACAGTTGATAGCTACGAAACTTGAGTAAACATTCGCCTTGACCTCTGACGAGTATAACAATACCGATTTCTTTTTCCAGACCATCTTTCTATTGAAATCGGCACCGTCAATGGTAAAAACAGACACTTTACAATAACACCACTGTTCGTCTCATTTTCTATTTTGTTGTCGACTGGGTGAAATATATATTCCCACACAATACTTTCAATAATAGATTTTTGTTATTATATTGATCCATTGTATAATTTTCATCCTACTTTAATGGGATATTATGAGATATTATACTATACTTATACTTGCAATTTATTGGCGGTGGTGGTGGTGATAAGGATGCTTGCTTTCTAATCACAAGGTCCCGGGTTAAGTGCAGGATTTTCTTCATGACTAAAATCAATTCCACACCCTAAGCGTCCATAAAGCTCTGATTTTTACAGGGCTTAGACTTGGTTCATAGAGTGTACTTCCACACTGTAAATAACATCATTGATGATATTGTTGTTGGGGGGGGGGGGGGGGGGGGGGGAGGGGGTGTGGGGCGCATCCCAACTTACTTCCCTAAATTCTAGGCCCCTTTTGCACGTACTGTACTGTAAAAATCGGTCAATTATGAGCTATTAAACTATTTCTTGCCAATGACGTCAAACTGCACAAAATCCCGCTTCAATCACGTTCCATTTACATGTTTGGGCTCACGTCTCTATAGGCCTATATTTATAAATCTAGTTTCAAATGTTACAGAAACATAATATCATATATAATATTTTAACAAGCCTAATTATTTTAGATTGTCTCTTAAACACGGACGCAGCTTCAGAAGTATTATAATATTTTATCAAGGTTTTGTAGAAAAAAAATATATAAGAATCTGGGCCAGGGTCGCATACGGATTTTAAAAGGCTTATATTGTTTCTTAATTTTAGATCATGGATTTAACTGTAACATTATCATGGCAAATCAGTGACGTCACACTGCTAAAACCCCTATTTATAGACTGTGACAATAACGGTTACTATGTGACACTAGAACGTCTGTATTTATATATAAATAAGGTTCTTAATACCATAGACCAATTAAAAAAAATTAAATCAGAACGTGTTATTTAATAGCCAGTGATACGTGCATGTCCCACAAATGCACAAGGTCACTTCACGCTGTCGTATTGTTGGACCTTAGCAACACGCAATATCCAAGGGGCACGCATTTATAAAGTTTATTATATAACACGGGCACATGAATCCTTATAATTATTTAGGTTAAACTTTAACCAAAAAATTTATTTCATATTACTATTGTATTCTAGAAATATAGGGGCGCTTCTAAGAATTTTACTACTGAACTAAGGAGAAAGCAGATTATGATTCAAAATACAGATAAAAACAGGAAAAGAAACAGTCAACAAAATTGGCAATTTAGACCCCACTTGCAGTATGCAGTATATAAAAGATTTGATGATGTTTTTAATTTTGGCTCATAAAAAGAACGGCTTTAAATTTCAAGTTTTTTGTCAATTCATTGATGTCACACTAATGAAAATCCCGTTATGGTGACGCAGCAATGATGAATAAAAATAGAAACTAGAACGTCCGAAATTTTTAATGTTTTAGATTATGAATTAAATGAGACGCTTATTGAAATCAAATATTTCTCTAATTAATTATTACAATTAAAGGAAAATCGGCCCATGGTAAAACTTCTTATTTTAGTTTGATTTAATATATATACTGTCTCTTATACACACCTAGATGTGTATAAGAGACAGCAATACCATATAAGAGACAGATATATATATCATTACTGATGCAGAATTCACAGTTGGTAAAGAAAGTAAATAACAAGGTAGGCCTCTACGCATTTTTAAAGGTTTGATCATGTTCCTAATTTGGACTTTCAATAGAAATTGACGGCTGCCCTTAATAAACACGTTCAGACATAATACGGTACTTATACTTTACTCTATTTTAATCAAATTTCCGTCCATTCACATATGTTCGAGCGGATGAAGATAGTTGCTACCGATCCGTAAGGATTTGCGATTATTTCCGTCATTTATAGATGAAACCAATTCACTAACAGTTACATTCTTGCGCTGGGAGCTACAACAAAAGCTTGACAAATACACTGCAATTTTTTCACATCATTCTGAAAGGTATGCTCAATTTCCTATTTTCATTTAGTTAGCACGTGATTGACTGTTTAGACTTACAAGTACTATATTATATGTTCAGTTTTACAGTACGTGGTAGGTCATAATTTTATTCTCTGTCGATATTGACTTGTCTATAACTACTTGAGGGCAATAAGGAAAGTTGTTTACGTTAGACTAAATAATCTCGACTTTTCAGGCTGTCGCTGTATTATGTAATCAACACTGTGTGTGTTTATTATACGAGAGAAAGGTTGTCAGCGCAGCATAATAGTAATAATAATAATTATTATTATTATTATTTTAATAATGATGATAACATTAATAATAATAATAATAATAATGATAATAATAATAATAATAATAGGCCTAATGATAATAATGATAATAATAATAATAATAATAATAATAATGATAATAATAATAATAATAATAATAATAATAATAATAATAATAATAATAATTAATAATAATAATAATAGTAACTGAAAAATTGAAAATTGAATTGAAAAATTGAAAAAAATTGAATTTACAATACATTTTAATTTTTAGTTTACTTAATATTAATGAATAGTTATAGTTGTGCCCAGGCTCAGTGTTGTTAGTGTAGGCCTACATAGTAACACTTTCTGCAAATAAGGTAGGCTAAACAGAAGAATAGTTTTTTCTATTTTCTAAGAAAAAAAAAACCTCATTTGGCGTGATCCAATAATAATAATTAATGATGATAATAATAATAGCAATAATAAAAATTAATACTGTTATTACAGTATTTATAATAATAATAATATTATATAATAGGCCTATATTATAATTATAAAAATATGCTCATAGGCCTTACTTATTTCAATGAATATTACATTTTGTTATAGATGGCGAAACTGTTAGCTATTGCTGCAATAATTTGCATCGTTGCCGTAACAGAATCAAAATGTAAGTACATCATAAAGCAGAAGCTGGGGCAGGCGGGGTAGAGTAAATGGGGAATGAGTCATTAACCCATACATCCTACAGACTTATTATAGTTAGATCGGTCAACTTCGATGCATCACCTAATAGAGACGAATTCCGTAGATTAATTAATTATTGGCTACGTGACGCTTAGGCCTACTGGGTATTGTATTCAACAAAAAACATACATCTTGAATTCAAAACTTTTGTTTCATCGTCAATATCAATTCAATTCAATTCAATTCAATTAACATTTATTCAACTAATTAATCAAATACATAAAATGATAAATAAAGTGGACAACATTAAAATTAATTAATTAGGATCAAAAATAGAAGCAAAGCTTGTCTCAATTTGACCCCGACAAGACAAAAAGTAAAAAAAAAAACGACTGTAGTTTTCATCAATTTTAATTTCCTAGAGTATAACCAAAACAATCGCAGTAGTGGCCTACCCGGAGTGTTCGTAGCCCTTGAAAAAATGTCCATGGTTTGTCGTCGTTTTTCGTTACACACGTAAACTCCATTTTTAGCGTAATGTAATAGTATTACGGCCCAGCTAGTAATCACGTGACCAGTTTCTAGATTCTAGAATCTAGAATCTTCCTACTGCTCACGTGACCAGTTAATATGGGGTCATTTTTATCAGAGTAATTTGATTGGTAATCACTTTTATTGGGTGTAATAAAGACCGATAAGGAAGAGACGAGTGTGTAATTACTTAAATAAACGGGTTAACAAATATAATTACTGTAAAAGGTTTCTGGTTCGAATCCAGCTTGGGCCACTTGTATATATATTTATATATAAACATTTCAAACGGTAAAGAGGAATCTGCGAGTACTTACAAACTGACCCTCAGCTCATTATATACATATATATATTATATATATATTATGTTAATTATATATATATAGAGTAGGCATTAATAAGATGGTAATTGCAGCACGTATGTATATATAGGACTATATTTTATATATATATATATAAAATATATAAAATAAAGTATATATATATAT